TCCTTTCTTTCCCACTCTTCCCCAGGCCCTGCTACTTGCACTGTACCTCGTGACCTTCTCTGAAGAGGCTATGTGTCCTCATGACTCTAGTTCTTTTGTTCAGACTGCTCTTTTTTTGAAATGTACTCTCTCCCATTCTTTTCTTTTAAAAATGCTTCTATCTCTTCACAGCCAAGTGCAGACACCTTCTCTGTGCGGGCTGCTCAAATCCCGTCAGACAGGACACGTTGTACCCTCATCTGGGCTTCGGTAGAGCGTTGTCCGTTAGAATGACATTAGAATGACACGATAAAAATCGTGTTACCATTTTTAGCTGTTTTACTTATGTTTGTTTCCCCTAAGAATGAGTTTCTTGAGTAGAATGCGTGTATCTTGTTTGTCTCTGTAAGCTCAGTGCTTAGCATAGTGTCTGATACGCATTGCACATTTAGGAAATGTTTGTTGAATTGCGTCAAAGGACAAACAAAGCTATGTGCCTCCAAGAAGACGTAGCTTTTCACCAGAAATGAGAGGACAGTTTGACTCTGAAGGCCTGGCTATCGTTCTATAGAGATTTAGCTGAACCTCAATTTAAAGCATTCAGCGGTGAGGTTGTAGGAGGCTTCATATATCACTCATGTTGACTAGTGCGTAGACATTGGCTTACACTGGAAGAGCAAAGAGCCAGTCAGGCAAGGGCTTCAAGTGCCTTCCACACTTCTAAGGATGGGCAGACCTATCTGGAGCATACAGATGGGCTGAAGGAACATACAGATGGGTTGCCTCCAAAGGCAAGAGAGGTTATTAAGTGGTTGGGTGGGTTGCTAGTTTATTTTCCAGTCCCCTCTAATTCTATTTCACAGCTCAGATAGCTTAAACATTTTAGGACATAAACCTTGAGGCATGGCTGAAACAAAATTTTAAGGTATGTGTCTTCGTCTGTCTTTCCCTTCTGCTCATCCTTTGAGTTGGCTTTATTTGTAAGCATTTCTTCCAATGTGGGACATGTCAAGATCACCAGAGAAGAGCACCACCTAAAGGTGTGCAGAGAATAAGCTGTGTGAGCTGGATGTGGCGGTCTGGGCTCTGGGCTTAGACTGGACCAGGCACCTGCTACTGCAGACGGAGACACTCTTCTTCCCAGCATTCCACCAGGAGTTCTGCTTGTCACTCTTACGTCCTCTGTTTGGGTTACTTATCCACTACTGACCAGTCACTGTGGCTGTGGAGAAACCAGTGCTCTCAGTGGCCCAGCCTGGGGCAGATGCCCACTCCCATAGCTGTAGGTGGCAGCCCTCCATGCCAGACAGACAACAATAGACATCCAACATAACATGTGCAGTGCTGAGCACAGTCTAGTCACATCATAGGAGATCAACAAAGATCGATTATTCTTTCTGTTTGCCCCTCCCCACAGTCTGCTTTACCCATCTTTGTTTCTTGACATTTCAAATGTCTGTGAAACAATTGGTTTTGCTTCTTTTTTTTTAGCGTATTTGTATTTTTTTTTTTTAAGATTTTATTTATTTATTTGACAGAGAGAGACAGTGAGAGCAGGAACACAAGCAGGGGGAGTGGGAGAGGGAGAAGCAGGCTTCCCGCTGAGCAGGGAGCCCGATGCGGGACTCGGTCCCAGGACCCCGGGACCATGACCTGAGCCAAAGGCAGACGCTTAACGACTGAGCCACCCAGGCGCCCTGTATTTTTTTTTTTTAAAGATTTTATTTATTTATTCAGGAGAGACAGAGAGGCAGAGAGGCAGAGGCAGAGGCAGAGGGAGAAACAGGCTCCTGGCAGAGCAGGGAGCCCAAAGAGGGACGCGATCCCAGGACCGTGAGATCATGACCTGAGCCAAAGGCAGACGCTGAACCGACTGAGCCACCCCGGCACCCAGTTGGTTTTGCTTCTTAAGTAACTTTCCAGAGTCCACTTATACAAATGTTGAAATTGTAATTTTAGACAAGCCTTATTTATACTTGGTAATTATAGATGCTGAATATTTTCCTACTATCCATAAATATGACTTGTAAAAATGACATTCATTTAGATCCCACTATAAGAGCAATATGGCTACCAACTATCAATTTATTAAGAACTTGCTTTTTGTGTAAGATTTTGGGAAGAGTACTCTAAGAGCCCACCTAATTCTGTGTGACAAATTTCTATAATTTTTATTCACTTTTAATTAAGTAAAGCATTGGGCATTTTCTTGTTTATTTTTTTAAGATATTTTATTTATTCGTTTGAGATAGAGAGCATGGGAGAGCATAAGCAGGGGGAGGAACACAGGGAGAAGAAGCAGACTCTCCACTGAGTGGGGAGCCAAACTTGGGGCTCAATCCCAGCACCCCGGGATTATGACCTGAGCCAAAGGCAGACATTTAACCAACTGAGCCACGTAGGCACCCCAACATTGGGCATTTTCATAGACAAGGCCCAGTGCTGGATCAAGGCATACATCCTATCATTCCATTTATTCCTCAAGAGTTCAAGGTATGATTATCTCCAATTTACATATCTTGTTCAAGCTCATACAGTTAGAAAGTGGGAGAACCCACATTAGCTCTCAGGTTTGTATAACTCCATGTTCTGTGCCTTTTCCTCTTGGGTATAAGAAGCTTTTAAAAAATATCTGGAGGGCGCCTGGGTGGCTCAGTTGGTTGGGCGACTGCCTTCGGCTCAGGTCATGATCCTGGAGTCCCGGGATCGTGTCCCGCATCGGGCTCCCTGCTCGGCGGGGAGTCTGCTTCTCCCTCTGACCCTCTTCCCTCTCGTGCTCTCTCTCTCTCATTCTCTCTCTCTCAAATAAATAAATAAAAACTTTTAAAAAAAATAAAAAATAAAAAATATTTGGACTTTTGGGGCACCTGAGTGGCTCAGTTGGTTAAGCATCTGACTCATCTCAGCTCAGGTCTTGATCTCAGGGTGGTGAGTTCAAGCCCTGCATTGGTCTCCACGCTGGGCCTGGAGCCTACTAAAAAAAAGAAAAAGAAAAAAAAATACATATATGGACTTCCAAATTCACAGATTTCCCATTCATGCATTTTTGGATTAATAAGTCACTTTTGCTTTGAAAACTATTTGCCTTACCTCTGGGTTTTCACTGGGAAAAAAAAGAGAGAGAGAGAGAGAGAGAGAGAGCGCCAAGACATTAAAAAGTGAAAAGAAAGAGAAATTTGTTGCGTGTTTCATTAAACAACACAGGTTCTTAAAAGTTCCTATGAGATAAGGAAAGCAGCTGGTGCGACTTGAAAAGGAAACTGCATACAGCTCTGTGTTGCTGGCACTTGGCACAGACCAAAGTGATGGAGAGGAAGAAATGCAGCCTTGCCAGGGAAAACTATGACTCAGGGCGCAGACAATTGCTTCCAAAACCCTAAGGGAAAATATTCTCTATAGAATCTGGCGAGAGAGCAAGTGGGAATTTCCTAGTAATCGCTCTCTCTCTCTCTCTCTCAGGTCCTTCTCTGCATGGGGTGGCAGGGAGACAAACTGCTGGAGTGAAGGGAGAGCCACCTGTATGTACAGAAGGACCTCACAGCACTTGCAGCAAAGCCAGGAGCTGGGGCCACTGCAGAGCTTTTAGTTCCATCTGCAAATCACAGTATCAGTGCTACGTACTTGGAATAAAAATAACATTTTGGGAGATAGAAGAAGAGGACAGAGAGTATGGTCTCTGGTTCCAAATACGTCTCTCTCTCTCTCTCTCTCTTTTTTTAACCAACTATGACTTGGGTGAGTTACTTAACCTTACTGAGCCTTAGTTTTCTTAATATTTGCCTCCTAGGGTTCTCAGGAGAATTAAACAAGATGGTGTGTGTTTGTAACACACTTAGCAGAGTCCCTTGCAGAACATATGTCTTTAAGAAATGTGGCTGTTATTGTTGTGTTTGCATTCTGTTATTATTGCAAATATTTACACTATGAAGACAGAACTTAAAAATAGTTGCTTTGGTGATTCCTTGAAAAATTCAGTATAGAATTATCATATGATCCGACAATTCCACTTGCGGGGATATACCTAAAAGAAGTGAAAGCTGGGACTCCAGTAGGTATTTACAGCAGCATTGCTCACGGTCGCCAAAAGATAGAAGCAACTCAAGGGTCCATCAGTGGATTCAGTGGATGAACGGGTAACTAAAATGTGATATAGACACACAATGGAATATTATTCAGCCTTAACAAGGAAGGAAATTCTTGCACATTGCAACGTGGGTGACACTTGGAGACACGATGCAAAATGAAATAAGCCAATCACAAATAGACACCTATTATATGATTCCACTTACATGAAGCACCGAGAGGCAAAAGTAGAATGGTGATTGCCAGGGGCTGGTGGGAGGGGGAAACGGGGTGTTGGTGTTTAATGAGTACAGAGGTTCCAGTTGGGGAAGATAACAACAGTTCTGCAAATGGACGGCAGGGAAGGTTGCACAAATATGTGAATGGACTTAATGCCACAGAACTGTACACTTAAAAGTGGTTTAAATGGTAAATTTTATGTCATGTATTTTTTTACCACAATAAAAAAAAAGAGAGACGAAGTAGTTTCCGTGAGCCCTGAACTTGGTATTCTGCAACTGGAAACACACGTGGTGGGGGTGTGTGCAACATATAAAGTACCCTGGGCTCGCCTCAGAGCTTTAGAATGTGAAGCTATTGATCCACTTCTCGGGCAACCTTTTAAAATATGAGACTAGGGACGCCTGGGTGGCTCAGTTCGGTTAAGCATCTGACTGCAGCTCAGGTCAAGATCTCAGGGCCCTGGGATTGAGCCCTGTGCTTGATGGGGGTCTGCTTCCTCTGCCACTCTCCCTCTGCCCCTCCCCCTGCTCCTGCTCTCTCTCAAATAAATAAATAAAATCTTTAAAAAAATAAAAAATAAAATCTGTCTTCTTGTATTCAGCATAATTATTCAAGATTCATCCATGTTGTTATGTGTATTTGGGATTCATTCCTTTTTATTGCTGAATAGTAGTCCACTATATGGATATACTTCAATTTCTTTTCTTTTCTTTTTTTAAACTGCCCCACAAGGGGAATTTTATTGATGGCACTAGTTTATTTCCCTCTTGAAAGACCAACTGCAACCAAATGAAGTGAACATAACCTCAAGATTTTATTGTCTTCATAATATTAACAAAATATGAAGCTTAGAACTGGATCACTTGGCCCTTTCTCTTCTTATCTCCTCCCAGTTCAAAATGCTTGCATCTCTTAATAGCCAGCATTCTCTTAGATCTGCAACTGGGCTCAACACATTCAAGCCTCAGAACAATCTTCTTTGTAGTTTTAGCCTTTTTCCAGATAATCGGCTTAGTCTGCCCACCATAGACACTCTGCTTCCTGTCATAACATCGCCTTCCCTGGGCATAAAGAGAATCTTTGCCCTTCTTGTACTGTGTCACTTTGTAAGGCTGGTGCTTGCCACACTTCTTGCAGAAAGTCCGGCGGGTTTTAGGAACGTTCACTGTGTTTGCGAGTGCTATCGGCACGGAAAGATCAATTTCTTTTTTTTTAAGATTGCTTATTTATGCATTTATTTAGAGAGAGAGCATGAGTGGGGGGAGGTGCAGAGGGAGAGGGAGAGAGAGAATCTCAAGCAGACTCCCCACTGAGCATGGTGCCCACTGCAGGGCTCGATCTCATGGCACGGAGGTCCTGAGACTGTGATCTGAGCTGCAATCAGGAGTTGGAGGCTTAACTGAGGGAGCCACCCAGGCGCCCCCACAATTTCTTTAAGCACCCATCTATGATGGACATTTGAGTTTGGGGGATATTCTAAATAACGCTGCTACCAACATTCATACACAAGTCTGTGCATGGAAACACTTTCTCTTGGGTAAACAACTGAGCGGAATGACTGGGTCATACGGTAGGTGTATATTTACCTTTTTAAAAACTGCTATCTTCTTTTTTTTTTTTCTTAACATATATTGCATTATTTGTTTCAGAGGTACAGAGGGGGAGATGAACCATGAGAGACGATGGACTCTGAAAAACATACTGAGGGTTCTAGAGGGGAGGGGGGTGGGGGGATGGGTTAGCCCGGTGATGGGCATTAAGGAGGGCACGTTCTGCGTGGAGCACTGGGTGTTATGCACAAACAATGAATCATGGAACACTACATCACAAACTAATGATGTAATGTATGGTGATTAACATAACAATAAAATTTTTTTAAAAACCTGCAAAGTGACTTTCCAAAGTGGTTGTACCATGTTTTATTTCCACCAGCAGTGTTTGAGGGTTCCAGTTGCTCCCTGTCCTTGCCAAAACTTGATACAGTCTTTTTGACTTTAGCCCTTCTAATAAGCACATAGTAGCATCTCACTGTGGTTTTAATTTGCATTTCCTTAATAACTAATGATGTTGATCATCTACTAGCCATCTGTGTGCCATCTTTGGTGAAAGTGTTGAAATCTTCTGTCCATCATTGTGGAGAATATTATTACCGAGTTTCAAGAGTTCTTTATGAATTGATAAATCCTTTATCAGATCTGTGACTTGCAAATATATTCTCCCAGTCTGTGACATGTCCTTCCATTTTCTTAAGAGGGTCTTTCGAAGTGAGCTCCATTTTTCTCTTATTTCTAGGCTAACTGTCGAGATATAAAATTTAAATAATGCGTTTTGGGTTTCCTAAGAACACCCTACATGGAATTATAAAGCAAAGCAGGAATTTTAAAGCAGAATGTCAAGTGAAGCCAAATTACCACTGATTTCGTGGTAATTGAGAGCGAATACATTTCTAGAGTACACACCATCAAGTTAATTCACAAGTTAAGTGACTAACTTGGTCCCACCTAAATTAGGAGACTACACCTGGCAACTCTAGTCCAATCTCAGGGTTTATTATTTTAAACCAACTATTCTAGAGGATTTTAGATAACTAAACTGATGTTTGAGAAGCAATAATTAACACTGAGAACAAAAGAACAAATTCATAAAACAGTTCTTGAGGTTCTATTACCATAGGTGCAATGGATGTTGAGAAAAGGTCTGCAATTGACCAGGTCTGGTCCTGGGTGCCCTTCACCTTCTGACGTCACTACCAACTGCTGGCTCTCTCCATATGTCTCACAGCCCGACTAATCAAGACAGAAGTGGGTATTGATAAAGGCCCTGCCTTCTCTGCTGGGCAGACCTCAAGTGTATCACATATACAAGCCGACCAGGATGGCTGGTGGTCTTTTCTCAGAAAGGGCAGTGGCTAGGGTAGGTCCTCATGGTGGAATGGGCTCCTTTGTAATCAAAAACCATTTCACATTCATTATCTGGCCTAAGCCACAAAAGAAAAAAAAAAATCCATGAAGAAGCCTTCAGTAGTTCCATGTACTTATTTGCTACTCATGTATCTCTTGGTGTAGTATCCACTCAAATATATAACCAATTTTTTTATTGGGTTGATTCTTTTCTTATTGGTGAGTTTTGAGAGTATTTCAAAAAATATATTCTGGATACAAATCCTTTATCAGATGGTGTGATGTGCAAACATTTTTGCCCAGTCTGTGGCTTTTTTCATTTTTTAAAAGATTTATTTGAGAGAGAGAGAGGAGTGAGAGGGCAGGGGACGGGCAGACAGGCAGAGGGAGAGGGAGAGAGAGAATCTCCAGCAGACTCCCCACTGAGTGTGGAGCCTGGGAGATCCCACGACCGGGACCATGACCTTAGCCGAAATCAAGAGTCGGACCCTTCACCAACTGAGCCACCAGGCGCCCCACTTTTCATTTTTTTTTAAAGATTTTATTTATTTATTTGACAGAGAGAGACACAGCGAGAGAGGGAACACAAGCAGGTGGAGTGGGAGAGGGAGAA